AACCTGGAATGTAAATGGTCTAAACACCCCCACTTAAAAGTCCACAGAGGGAGGCCGGGCACAGTGACTTATGCCTTGTAATCCCAGCACTTTGGGAGGTGGGCAGATCACCTGAGGTCAGGAGTTTGAGACCAGCCTGGCCAATATGGTGAAACCCCGTCTCTACTAAAAATACAAAAATTAGCTGGGTGTGGTGGCCTGCACCTATAATCTCAGCTACTCGGGAGGCTGAGGGAGGAGAATCTCTTGAACCCGGGAGGCAGAGGTTGTGGTGAGCCAAGATCGTACTACTGCACTCCAGCCTGAGCGACAGAGCAAAACTCCATCTCAGGAAAAAAAAAAAAAAAAGTTACAGAGTGGCAAGTTGGATTAAAAAAAAGAAGACCCATCCATCTGCTCTCTTCAAGAGACCTTTCTCAAACATGAAAACACCCATAGGCTCAAAGTAAAAGGTTGGAGAAAGATCTGTCACACAAACAGAAAACAAAAAACAGAGGTCACTATTTTTATATCAGATAAAAGACTTTAAACCAACTATAGTAAAAAAGGATGAAGAAGGGCACTACATAATAGCAAAGGATTCAGTTCAACAAGAAGACTGAACTATTGTAAATATATACACACCCAATATTTGAGCACCCAGGTTCATAAAACAAGTACTTCTAGACCTACAAAGAGTGAGTCACACAATAATAGTGGGGGACTTCACCCCATTGAGAGCGCTGGACAGATCATCAAGGCAGAAAACAAAGAAATTCTGGACTTAAAGTTAACACTTGACCAATTAGACCTACTGGATATCTACAGAGTAATTCACCCATCAACCACAGAATATGTATTTTTCTCATGTGGACATGGAACATACCCCAAGGTCAACCACATGCTCAACTATAAAGCAAGTCTCAATAAATTCAAAAAGTCAAAACCGTACTAAACCATACTCTCATGGGAATAAAAATAGAAATCACTACCAAGAAGATCTCTCAATACCATATGACAACATGGAAATAAAACAACTTGCTCTTGAATGATTTTGGGTAAATGACAAATTTTAAAATTCTTTGAAATAAATGAAAACAAAGAACATGCCAAAATCTCTGGGATGCAGCCAAAACAGTTTAAGAGGAAATTTTATAGCACCAAACACCTACCTCCAAAAGTTAGAAATATCTCATATTAACCATCTAACATTACACCTAGAGGAACAAGAAAAACAACAAATGAACCCCAAAGCTAGCGGAAGAGAAGAAATAACTAAAATCAGAGCCAAATAGAATGAAATTGAGACCCAAAAATCTATGCAAAGGATCAGTGAAAAACAAAACAATTTTTTTATCTTTTTTAAAAAACTTTTTTTGAAAGGATAAGCAAGATCGGTAGACCGTTAGCTATATTAACAAAGAAAAAGAAGATCTAAATAAACACAGAAATGACAAGGATGACATTACAACCATTCCCACAGAAATACAAAAGGTCCTCAGGGACTATTATTAAATCTGTATGCACACAATTTAGGAAATCTAGAGGAAATGGTTAAGTTCCAGGAAACACAATTTCCTAAGATTGAATCAGGAAGAAATTGAAACCCTGAACAGACCAGTATTGCGTTCCAAAATTGAATCAGTAATTTAAAAAAAAAAATCTTTAAAAAGTCCCAAACCAGATGGAAATCTTTAAAAAGCCCCAAACCAACCCCAATTCACAGCTGAATTCTACCAGACATAAACAAAGAAGAGCTGGTACCAATTCTACTGAAACTATTCTTTAAAAAATAAAATAAAAACGAGGAGGAGAGATTCCTCCCTAACTCATTCTGCAAAGCCAGCATTATGTTGGTATCAAAACCTGACAAAGACATAATGAGAGAAACTACAGGCCAATATCCCTGATGAACATAGACACAAAAATCCTCAGCAAAAATAGCAAATTGAATCCAGCATCCCATTCAAAAATTAATTCACCATAACCACAGGTTTCATTCCTGGGATGCAAGGTTGGTTCAACATACAGAAATCAGTAAATGGGATTCACCACATAAACATAATAAACATAATTAAAAACAAAAACTGTATGATCATATCAATAGATGCAGAAAAAGCTTTTGATAAAATCCAACATCTCTTTATGATAAAAACCCTCCAGAAACTAGGCTTCGAATGAACATACCTCAAAATAAGAGCCATCTATGACAAACCCACAGCCAACATCATACTGAGTGGGCAAAATCTGGAAGCATTCCCATTGAGAACTGAAAACTGATGCCCACTCTCACCACTCCTATTCAGCATAGAACTAGAAGTCCTAGCCAGAGTAATCAGGTAAGAGAAAGAAAGAAAAGGCATCCAAATATAAAAAGAAGTCAAACTTTCTTTGCTGAAGATACGATTCTATACCTAGAAAACCCTGAAAACTCCACCAAAAGGCTTCTGGAACTGATAACTTCAGTAATTTTTCAGGATACAAAAATCAGTGTACAAAAATCAGTAGCATTTCTGTACACCAAAAATGTTAAAGCTGAGAACAAAATCAAGAACATAATCTCATTTACAATAGCCATAAACAAAAATAAAATACCTAGGAATGTATCTAATCAAAGAGGCGAAAGATCACTACAAGGAGAACTACAAAACACTGCTGAAGGAAATCATAGATGATGTAAAGAAATGGGAAAACATTCCATGCTCATGGATTGGAAGAATCAATATTGTTAAAATGGCCACACCGCCCAAAGCACTCAACAGGTTGAACACTTTTTTTTTTTTTTTTTGAGATGGAGTTTTGCTCTGTCACCCAGGCCAGAGTGCAGTGGCACGATCTCAGCCCATTGCAACCTCCGTCTCCTGGGTTCAAGTGATTCCCCTGCCTCAGCCTCCCTTGTAGCTGTGATTACAGGCCCACGCCACCACACTCAGCTAATTTTTGTATTTTTAATAGAGACGGGGTTTCACCATGTGGGCCAGGCTGATCTCAAACTCCTGACCTCAAGTGAGCCACCCACCTTGGCCTCCCAAAGTGGTGGGATTATAGGTGTGACCCACCTTGCCTGGCCCAGATTGAACACTTTCTATCAAGCTACTAATGTGGTTTTTCACAGGGCTAGAAAAAAAAAACATTCTAAAATGTATATGCAACCAAAAAAGAGCCTGAATAGCTAAAGCAATCTTAATCAAAAAGAACAGAGCTAGAGGATCACACTACCTGAATTCAAATTATAAGGCTACAGTAACCAAAAGAGCATGGTACTGGTACAAAAGCAGACACATAGACGGATGGAATTGAATAGAGAACCCAGAAATAAATCCACACACCTACAGCTATCAGATCTTCAACAAAGTTGACAAAAATAAGCATTGGGGCAAGAACTCCCTACTCAATAAATGGTGCTGTGGAAGAATGATACTTGATCCTTACTATCACCGTATACAAAAATTAATCCAACATGGATTAAAGATTTAAATATAAAACCTCAAACTATAAGAGTCCTAGAAGAAAACCTAGGAAACACAATTCTGGACATCAGCCTTTGGAAATAATTTTGACTAGGTCCTCAAAAGCAATTGAAACAGAACTAAAAATTGACAAGTGGAACCTAGTTAAACTAAAAAGCTTCTACACAGCAAAAGAAACCATCAACAGAGTAAACAGCTTACAGAATGGGAGAAAATATTTGCAAACTATGCATCTGACAAAAATCTAAAATTCTAAAGAATCTATGCAGAACTTAATTGAACAAGCAAAAAAAAAAAAACCCTATTAAATGAGCAAAAGACATGAACAGATCTTATCAAAAGAAAACACACAAGCGGCCAACAAACATGGAAAAATGTTCAACATCAATAATAGACAAACGCAAATCAAAAACACAGTGAGATACCGCCTCACACTAGTCAGAATGACTATTACTAAAATGTCAAAAAACAGATGCTGGCAAAGCTTTGGAGAAAAGGAAATGCTTATACACTATGAGTGGGACTGTAAATTAGTTCAGCCACTGTAGAAAGCAGTTTGGAGACTTCTCAAAGAACTTAGAACTACCCTTTGATCGTTAATCCCATCACTTGGTATATATCCAAAGAAAATAAATTATTCTCCCCAAAAGACACATACTACTGTATGTTCATCACAGTACTATTCACAATAGCAAAGACATGAAATCAACGTAGGTGCCCATCAGCGGTGGATTTGATAAAGGAAATGTGGTACATACACACTATAGAATACTACACAACCACAAAAAAGAATGAAACGATGCCCTTTGCAACAACATGCATGCAACTGGAGGCCATTATCCTGAGTGAATTCGTTCAGGAACAGAAAACCAAATACCGCATGCCCTCACTTACAAGTGGGAGCTAAACACTGGGTACTTATGTACATAAAGATGGCAACAATAGACGCTGGGGACTACTGGAGGTGGGAGGGAAGGATGGGGGTAAGGGTTGAAAAACTATTGGGCACTATGCTCAGTACCTGGATGATGGGATCAATCATACCCCAAACTGCAGCATCATGCAATATGCCCATGTAACAAATGTGCACATGTCCCTGAATTAAAAATAAAATTTGAAATTATTTTTAAAATTTAAAAAATCCAAGGCAATTGTTTTTAAAACATGTCTCCCCTAGAGCATACCAAATGCTTTGCCACAGAATTATGTAATTATGCCATGAACTCAATTTTATGAGCAAATAAGGTAAGTATAATTTCAGTCCAGTAACCAGCAAATCATTTGTTGACTTTTGGAATGTGCTATGTTATGCTTTTGTAGCATGCCTTCCTAGTTATATTTTACAGATGTTGGTATTTTTGTTTGTATTTACTGATTATATACCAGTTGGACAGTGGAAAGGAAAGAACCAAAAATGATATATCACCTGCAGATAGAAAAATGAGCGAATAATTTTCACCTAAATCAAATGTGTGCCATTTTCCCTTTCTGAGTTTTTTGCTTTAAATTAATACTAAATTTAGTTTTGTACAAATAACCATTAGGAGGAAGAAAAGCCAACCTGTATCTTTATTTTAGCCAGTTCACTAACAATTAATTATATATATATATTTAAAAGTTGTATTTTATCTGAGCTTTGGTTTACCTGTTATTTACTATTTAAAAATACATGGGTGTTCATACACCATATATTTTCTTTTGTATAACAGTTTGAAAGAGTTTTCCTGATTGCAGTAAAGTTAATGTTTCCCCCTTTTTTAGTCATTAACAGTCAAATGGATAGTTAAATATATCAATGATACAGAAATAGAAAATCTCCAAGATGGATTAAATAAACACTATTATAGGAGTTACTATGACTAAATGTTTTGAAACTTAAAACTTTTGAGTTGTAAATAAAATTATTAAAGATAAAATTCCAACCTGTTATCTCATGTGGAGTTTAAATCACAAGTCGGAAACTTAGGATTTAAGCTCTCTAAAGAACAGGAATGTAAAGGGGAAGAAAACTGTCTGTATTCCAAAAACAAAAGGTTACATAAATTGCCAAATTAAGCTTAAGAAGGTTTTTTCACCTCTACCCTATGCGGAGTAAAGAAGGTAATTATACTAAGCAGCTGCTTTTAATGCCTTTTATATAAACAAAACAACAAAATCCATAGACTTCTGGAATACCAGCAAATTGTATGTGTTCTCAATTAGTCATCATGTTATATTTACAGTTCATTAAACAAATGACAATTTGTAAATTCAGTCCACAAAATAGCATGCTGAAAGGCTACACAGGTAGAAGTATTAGATAAAAGGAACATCACTGCCCTTCATAAATTCTAGAAAGTTCATTGCATTCATTATTCACCTTTAAATTCAAAATTGGAATTTGATGATGATTGCAACTGCAGCTGAGGTCCACAAACTAAAACAATTTACTGGGTGTGGAAAATGGGGCTGAGAAAAGCCGTGGGCTAACCATCCTGTTAACAAGGAGTGTCTCCTCATCAAGGTGGCAGCCACCAGAACGAGGTGCACCCTCCTACCCTCCAAATAGCAAGGGCTCATGCAAATGAAAAGTGAACCTTTGAGATGAGTCTGGATAATAATGCTTTGGAGATTTCCTGTTAAACTAGCACTCTTAAGAACATAGTGGCATTTTATTTCAATCGTAGTATAAAACTCATTGGTTTCTTCAATTTTGTTATATTTTAGATGTTGGTATTAATAAACCAAGCAAGATTCTTTTTAAGGTTTCTGTTTCCCCTTTCTAAAAACTCTATATCGGGTTCTTCAATTACATTCTCAAATTATACAGATACTACACGTTTTTTGACAAATACCATATTTTGGTAATGTTAAAGCTGGAGGTAAACTAGAGTCTGTAACTTTGACTTCTGCTGCAATGTTTGGATGATGGGACACATCGCCCCGGGAACTGTCTCAAAGCACAACCACCTCTTAGGGCCCTACGCTCACTCCCCAAAGGCAGATCCGCCTCCAAAACTCCAAATCCTCATGGTCTCAGGCATCCCTTTTAAACGGGCACAATCGTCACCTCCTTGCAATGAGAGCGTGCTTGATTATTCCTGGCCTCCAGTTACTGGCCTTCATTCCGGGCGTGGGGTGGGGTAGCCTGTCGGTTCCTGAAGATAGCTCGGGGATAACCAAGACAAAAGAACCTGAGGAGAGCTGCCTCAATGGTGGCAAGCTGGGTCCTCCACGTCACCAAATGCCATTTTCACCGTGCCTGTATGGTCCGCTGTTTATCCTGTTAGCAGACCCCTAAATCAGGCAGGAAAATAAAGCTCAGTGGAAGGGCCTCGGAGCAAGACAATCCCACGAAAATGGACGCGGGTTGATTAACGTGAGTGAAGTTCTGAGGACCAGAATCCAGACGTAATTCTCCATCCCGGCTGCTCGTTAGATGCCCGGACCGACCCCCAGACCAATTCAATCAGAACATTGGAGGGGCTTGTAAAATCTCCCAGGGAGATTCCGGTACGAAAGCCAGACTCACACGCGCGTTCTCCACCCGCCTGCCGCGGCCAGCGCGGGTCCCTCTTAGGGAATTGAATGGAGGCCCCGCGCCGCCTCCTCGAGTATCCCAGTGTGACCGATGGCCAGCTCACAAACGCGCAGTGGGTGCGGCCGAGCCGGGGAGCAGCGGAGCGGAGGGCTTTCGGCCTGGGAAAGAGGAGCCACGGTCCGGAGAGGCATCAGTGCCGGGCCGCTGAAGTCCTCGCAATTGCTGGACTCAACCGCGCGCGCCCTCTACCGGTCCCGCAAAGGAGCCGCAGCCGCCGCGGGAGGCCACAGGTGAAGCGAAGGGTTTGTCTTACTTCAGTGGCCCTGTAAGCCACGCCCAGATTCTCTGCCATTTTCCCACTTCTCATGGCTTTGCACGCTGTCCCATGTTGCGTTAGCCTGTACTGTCTCTTTTTCTACATTTAGAAAACAATTTATTGATGCTGCACGACATGAAAAAGTGCTGTAACTCCCTGAATGTACTTGTCTTTCAGATAGGTAACAAATTACATTGGGTCATTGTTCAACTTTATTAATATTTGTTAAAACAGAATTTGCATATATTTTTGCCTACCAAATTGGCAATATTTGTATGTATGTATGTAGGTATATATGTATTTTTGCAACGGAGTTTTGCGCTTGTTGCCCAGGCTGGAATGCAGTGGTGCAATCTCAGCTCACGGCAATCTCTGCTTCTTGGGTTCAAGTGATTCTCCTGTCTCAGCCTCCCGAGTCGCTGGGATTACAGGCGCGCGCCACCACGACCGGCTAATTCTTGTATTTTTAGTAGAGACGGGGTTTCACCCTGTTGGCCAGGCTGGTCTCGAACTCCTGACCTCAAGTGATCTGCCCGCCTCGTCTTCCCAAAGTGCTGGGATTACAGGCGTGATTCACCGCGCTCAGCCATGTTTTAAAATGAGACTCTTAGTGCTTGTGAAAACAATGAGAGAAAGACTTTTTCATATAGTTTTTTTGTTTTGTTTTGTTTTGAGACAGAGTTTTGCTCTTACTGCCCAGGCTAGAGTGCAATGGCGTGATCTCGGCTCACCGCAACCTCCGACGCCCGGGTTGAAGCGATTCTCCTGCCTCAGCCTCCCGAGTAGCTGGGACTACAGGCGCCTGCCACCACTCCCGGTTAATTTTTTGTATTTTTAGTAGAGACGTGGTTTCACCCTGTTAGCCAGGATGGTCTGGATCTTCTGACCGCGTGATCCACCCGCCTCGGCCTCCCAAAGTGCTGGGATTACAGGAGTGAGCCACCGCACCCAGCCAAGCAGAATAACTTCTTAACTACCCCAGATGAAAAACACTTTAGAACATTTTAGCTCAGATCGCTTTAAAAATTTTTCTATTTTGAATAATTTTAGACTTACAGAAAAATTGCAATAATAGTAAAGAAAGTTCCTTTCTACCCTTCATCTATCTTCCCCTAATATCAACATTTTTCATAATCATAGTGCAATTACCAAAACTAAAAAGTTTACAGGCTCACGCCTGTAATCCCAGCACTTTGGGAGGCTGAGGTGGGTGGATCACGAGGTCAGGAGATCGAGACCATCCTGGCCAACATGGTGAAACCTCATCTCTACTAAAAATGCAAAAATTAGCTGGGCGTGGTGGCACGCACCTGTAGTCCCAGCTACTCGGGAGGCTGAGGCAGGAGAATCACTTGAACCAGGGAGTCAGAGGTTGCAGTGAGCCAAGATAGCACCAGTGCACTGTAGCCTGGTGACAGAGTGAGACTGTCTGTCCCCACAAAAAATAAAAATAAAAAAAGAAAATTGACTTGTGTATGTTGACTTTGTATTTAGCAATATTACTTAATATTCTTATTTATTCTAATAGTTTACTTGTAGATGAGCTTGGATTTTCTACATATATAATTATATTATCTGTGACTAATGACCATTTTATTTCTTCCTTTTTAATCCGTATACCTTTTCTTTTTGCCTTATGCCAGTGGCTAATTGCTATCTCAGTACAATGTTAAATAGAAGTAATGATGAGCATAACCTTTTCTAGCTTCCAATCTCAAAAGTCTTCAGTGTTTCACCACTAGATATGATGTTTACTGCAGATTTTTATGGATACCCTTTAGCAGATTAAATAAATTCCCATCTATTCCTACTCTGTAAATTATGAAAAATGTTACAACTTATCAAGTACTTCTACATCTATTGCAATGTTTACATGAGTTTTTCTTCTTTAATCTCTTAATGTGGCAAACTACATTAGTTTTCTATTGTTAAATCCAAACGTGCATTCCTAGGACAAATGCAACTGACTCATGAAGTAGTATGCTTTTTATACATTGATGGCTTTATAATATTTAGAATAATTTCCTAATGTTTAGAATTTTTACATTTTTGTTCTTGAGTAAATTTGGCCTGTAATTTTCTTTTTCATATTGTCCTTGTTAGGTGTTGATATTGAGGTTAGTGCTAGCCTCATCAAACAAGTTGGAAAATGTTCCCTCTTTTTCTACTCTCTGGGAGAGTAGAAATACTGAATACCCAAACCATGCCAGTTTGACAGGATTTAATGTAAGAAATTGCTTAGACAAGTACTGGAGAACTAAAAAGGTGAAGATGGAACTGCAGCAACACAGAGATAGTAAACATAGGAAGTAGTTACCATCCCTAAGGCTGAAGGGACAAAGGGAATATACTGGGTCTTTAGAAACTGCAAGCTTGGAGGAGGGACTTACAGAGCTGGGACCCAGACTTCTGAGGAGTGGTGCTACCCAGCTGGTGCTGGTACCACGGGAGTCACTCAGAAGTCTCAGGTAGGTTGCAATCCATGCAAGGACTGTTTAATGTCTAGTTTACTCTTACAGAAAGCGTACCCTTTCTTAAGACGTTTCACTTCTACCCCTAAGAAAATTGTCATAATGCACTGAATTTGTTACAGCAAGACACTAGTACCATATGTAAACATCCAGTGTTCACAATGAGAATGGTACTCTTTACCTGTGGCATGGTAGGCCACTGGCTCTCCCTTTTATGTTATGTTATGTTATTTATTTATTTATTTTGAGATAGAGTTTTGCTCTTGTTGTCCAGGCTGGAGTGCAATGGTGCAATCTCGGCTCACTGCAACCTCTGCCTCCCAGGTTCAAGCAATTCTCCTGCCTCAACCTCCCCAGTAGCTGGGATTACAGACACCCACTACCACGCCCAGCTAATTTTTGTATTTTTAGAAGAGACAGGGTTTCGCCATGTAGGCCAGGCTGGTCTCCAACTCCTGACCTGAAGTGATCCGCCCACTTCGGCCTCCCAAAGTGCTGGGATTACAGGTGTGAGCCACCGCGCCCGGCCCCCTTTTATGTTTTCCATGAAATTTACTGAATCCTCTCATTCCCTTGTGGCTTTTTTCTCATTTTCTTTGATCTTTTTTGTTTCTTTCTGTAATTTTAAAGTGATTTCAAGAGTAACATGTGATAAGTACATGCAATCAATAAACCATCCTTAACCAGGAATTATATATAAAATTAGTTTGTTATAAATGTATTATTTGTATTTGTATTAAATTATTTCTTATAAAATAAAATAGTTGTATTAAGATTTATTTGTAATTTTGACATCTCTATTACATCTTTTAATTTCAACGTTTGTTTTGTAGATTCAAAGGAAAAAACATGAAAATTAAAATCAAGTTACAATTTTGTATTGGCATAAAACATATCAGCAAATAAGATGTCTGAAAAGGAGGGTATGTCAGAGGAGCTAGAGGATACTATTAGTCAATTTAGGAAAGAATCTAGATCACAGTCAGTGAAGGAGCCTGGCTTTATTAAAGAAACATCAAATTTGATAAACGAAGCTTCTGATTACCTGGAAGGGAAATCTTCTAACCAGATTTATGAAACACATCCTAGACAGATTACATTAGAGTCAACATCTTCCTCTGGAAGCAAGTCTAAAAGAAATGAAGAACAAAAGAAAAATCTTCAATTTTCTGAAACAAGCACTAGAACAGAAACTTCACAGAGTTTATCATCACTAACTGGGAGGATTGCAGAATATCAGGCTTTGGTTAACTTCCTATCTCATGAAACAGTAGGAGAAGTTAGTCCACAAGTCTCTGAAGAAAATCAGAAACATCTTGGCTTAGAAACAACTTGTAAAGATAACTTTACAGTTAACCTTGAGGCCAAGGGTTTACAGGAATTTCCTAAGGACATTTTAAAAATCAAATATGTAAAACATCTATATTTAGACAAGAATCAAATCAAAACTTTTCAAGGGGCAGACTCAGGTGATCTGCTAGGACTTGAAATTCTATCCCTGCAAGAAAATGGATTATCATCACTTCCATCTGAAATTCAGTTACTTCATAATTTAAGGATATTAAACGTCAGTCACAACCACATATCACATATACCTAAAGAAATATCTCAGCTTGGGAATATCAGACAACTCTTTTTTTATAACAATTACATTGAAAATTTTCCTTCTGACTTAGAATGTCTTGGAAACTTGGAAATTTTAAGTTTGGGTAAAAATAAGTTAAGGCATATACCAGATACTCTGCCTAGTTTAAAATACTTGCGGGTTCTCAATTTGGAATATAATCAATTAACAATATTTCCTAAAGCTCTGTGCTTCCTTCCAAAGTTAATTTCACTAGACCTTACTGGAAACCTGATCAGCAGTTTGCCAAAGGAAATTAGGGAGCTTAAAAATTTAGAAACACTTTTACTGGATCATAATAAGCTTACCTTTCTGGCTGTAGAAATTTTTCAGTTACTCAAAATAAAAGAACTCCAACTGGCCGACAATAAATTGGAAGTTATTTCACACAAAATTGAGAATTTTAGGGAACTTAGGATTCTTATACTTGATAAGAATTTATTGAAAAATATACCAGAGAAAATATGTTGCTGTGCAATGTTGGAATGCCTTACTCTTAGTGATAATAAATTAACAGAACTTCCTAAGAACATCCATAAGCTTAACAATTTAAGAAAACTTCATGTAAACAGAAATAATATGGTAAAAATAACTGACAGTATCTCACATCTTAATAATATATGCAGTCTAGAATTTTCAGGAAACATAATCGCAGGCATTCCCATTGAAATAAAAAACTGCCAAAAAATAATTAAAATTGAATTGAATTATAACAAAATAATGTATTTTCCGTTGGGACTGTGTGCTTTAGATTCTCTTTATTATTTGAGTGTTAATGGAAATTATATTTCAGAAATACCTGCGGATATATCTTTCAGTAAACAACTGCTTCATTTAGAATTGAGTGAAAACAAACTCCTCATATTTTCTGAGCACTTTTGTTCTCTTATTAATCTTAAATACCTGGATCTTGGTAAAAACCAAATAAAGAAAATTCCAGCATCTATTTCTAATATGATATCACTCCATGTACTTATTTTATGCTGTAATAAATTTGAAACTTTCCCTAGAGAATTGTGTACTTTAGAAAATTTGCGAGTACTTGATCTTTCAGAAAACCAATTACAGAAAATCTCTTCAGACATCTGTAATTTAAAAGGAATCCAGAAATTAAACTTCTCAAGCAATCAATTTATACATTTTCCTATTGAACTGTGCCAACTTCAATCACTGGAACAGCTGAATATAAGTCAGATAAAAGGGAGAAAGGTAAGAGACTGTGGGCTTTGTGGGGAAGGAGAGACTGGAGAGGATCAGAATTTAAGCTGTGGTGTATCTGTGTGTACCATATGTGTGTTTTAAATTGAGCTGGAATTGTTTATTTTTTAAATGAAAGGCTTCCCCCTCCCCACCAAATATGGCTTATAAATACACTTCACAACACAAAAGCTGTACAGGAAAATATTTCATTAAAATGAAATATGAAGCAATGAAAGCTGACAATTCTATAGATTCCTTTTTGTTTTGGTGTAATTGTAAAAGGAGTTTTAAAGTTGTAAATGTCATATAAACACATTACTGAAAGTTTGGAAAGTGATAAAATTAAAACAAAAATCATTCCACAAGCATGTCATGTATTATAACTACTAGCATACGCTGACACAACTTTTAGTCTTTTTTCCCGTTATGCATATGGTTTTATAAGAAATTATAGAAGACTACACACTCAGTTTTAAATTCTTCTTTTTTTAACCAATAAGCATTTCTCTTTGATATAATCATCTTCCCAATAAATTGTTATAACCAGTACATGATTTATAGATCTAATCCTCTTGTTATGCATTTATGGATGTTATAACTTTTCTTCATAATAATCCTGTGATGATTTTTCCATAAATATAGCCTTTTTCATATTTTAGACTATTTCCTTAGGAAATTTTCCCTGAAGAATTACTAGATCAATAAGAATTAACATTTTTAGAGTTTAGCATTTTATCTTACTGAAACTCTAGGAGTAAGTTTTATGGAAATAATTTTTTAAAAACTAAAACATTACTGATTTATATGAAGATCTTAGTAAACAAATGAAAAGAACACAGCGTTATCTAAGTCAGGACTTCCCAAAGTCTACTCCTAAAAGCCCTAGTTCCATGAGAGTCTGCTCAAAAAAAAAAAAAAAAGGGAGGAGGGGAGCAGCGTCTGTGATCAAATAGCTTTTTTTTTTTTTTTTTTTTGAGACGGAGTCTCGCTCTGTCACCCAGGCTGGAGTGCAGTGGCCGGATCTCAGCTCACTGCAAGCTCCGCCTCCCGGGTTTATGCCATTCTCCTGCCTCAGCCTCCGGAGTAGCTGGGACTACAGGCGCCCGCCACCTCGCCCGGCTATTTTTTTTGTATTTTTTAGTAGAGACGGGGTTTCACCATGTTAGCCAGGATGGTTTCGATCTCCTGACCTCGTGATCCGCCCGTCTCGGCCTCCCAAAGTGCTGGGACTACAGGCTTGAGCCACCGCGCCCGGCCCAAATAGCTTTAAGAAGCACTGGGTTCTTCTCTTAAAGAATAACAATGAATACTGATCTATTAAAAGCTTTGAAGAGTCTTGCACTAATTTTCCCAAAATATTCCCATATTTCCCAAACTTGTTTGACCATTTTTAACATAACAGCTATCATATAATACATTTCCAGAAAAGCTACTCCAGGGAATACTTGCTTAAGCAGATGGAATGAATAATGATACACCTTGCATTTAAAAAGTTGATTTTGTACTAACAGACAATTTTTAGTTCTGCAATATAATAATCAGTTAATTCATTGACTGATTCATAACCATCTCACTCATTTTCTCCTCTTGTAAGATAACTGTTGGTATCTCCAATGATGTCCCTAACTCTCTCTTTTTTATTAACTTCTTTCTCACCACACCTGCTGTCACTTACATGCACATTATCCCAAAGTCTACATGACTAAAGCTGATCTCACACCAGTGCTGTAGTCCCATAGTTCCCATTTTTTTCCTGGAAATTATACATGTTCTATTCTTTTGTTGTCACACACTCAATATCACTTCAAAGTCAGCTCATTTTTCTTCCATCTCCTTTCAAAACTTCTCCATTTCTGTTTGTGATGCCAGTTTTTGTTTTAAACCTGCCAGGCTAAAACTCATGAAATCATTCTTGTTCCTTTTCCATCATCAGTTATACCTCATCTTACACCAAAATTGTATCATTTTTCCTCTAAAAAAGCTGTCGGATTGTCTCCCTCATTTTCCAGTGTCACTGTCTACAACCTGGTCCTTGGTTATCACTCACTTCATGCATAGATTTATGCCAGGAGTTTCTTCCTTTTAGCAAGCCTTATCAAAGCTGTCAGACTTCATTGCAGAGGACTGTTTTCCATGTATCATACTTGCTTGTCAGGAATCCAAATTGCATATCTGTTGCCTACTCAAAGTGAGTGGCTGCCCAAGGCAACAGTCCACATATTTGCAACATCATTGCAAAGGTCATCAAATGGAAAAAATTATTTACAAGAACTCCTGTCAAAAAGAATATCCCATGTAGTTGAAAATATCATTGATAACCCCCTTGGGGTGGAAATTAAATGCCCAAATAATTAACTTATGTAATAGCAGATGGTCACTTACTGAAGAAGAGTCAGATTAATCACAGGGCTTTTATTTTACTAAAGGAAGGATGCCCAACAGGAATCTTCCTTCTATATGAACCCTATCATCATACAACTCTCAGACACCACCTCTAGTAAATGTTGAGAAGGTAATTAAAGAATATTTCCTTCATTGAATGTCAAATAATGAACCCACCTACCTGTTTGGATCTGACTCCTACTTCACAGGCCCGTCTCTCCAGTCTTGCCATGGCCTGGTTCCATGCTCCTTATCCAAACAAATCTCCCTCTGCTTTGCATCACCTTTCTTTACTGGTCAGCTTCTCACTAGCCATGACTATGCATGATATTCTGTCACTCAGGCTGGAGGACAGTGGTGTGATCTCAGCTTACTGCAACCTCTGCCTCCTGGGTTCAAGTGATTCTCCTGCCTCAGGCTCCTGAGTAGCTGGGATTACAGGCACTCACCTCCACGTCCAGCTAAGTTTTCTATTTTTAGTAGAGACGGAGTTTCACCATGTTGGCCAGGCTGGTCTCGAATTCCTGTGATCCACCCGCCTTGGCCTCCCAAAGTGCTGGGATTTCAGGTGTGAGCCATCGAGCCCAGCCCCCTATTCATTCTTAAGAGGCTATTCAAGTTCTACTTTTTACATGAAGCTTTACTTTAGTTATCTGATTTGTAGTAATGAACCTTTTCTAAACTTTTATTCATCAGTTATTAATTGTATTATTTTGGCATTGGATTACCTATTGCTTCATTCCATTTCCTGATTTTTTCATATGGATATATTCTGTTCCCTAAAATAAATTTTAATCTCTGTGAAGTTGGAAACTATTTCTTATGCTTCCTTTATACCTGGAAGAACATATAGCACAACATCCAGAATGTACCTTGTTGTTTAGTTATTTCAGAGGTGCCTACACATTCAAAATTGTTTTGTTCATAGAACATCCTTTATTTCAAAAACCACTCATAAAGGCCCTATTTTCTCTAAATATGCGTATTCTTCATCTTAACAGAATATTTTAATTCCTGCAATTTTGCAACACTTTTTGTAGTAGGAATTTTTATTTAAGGTCACATTGCCAAACTTTTATTTAAGGTCACATTGCCAAACTATTATTAAACATTTGGTCAAAATGCATTTCGTGCTTGGGAACACATACAAAAAGTATAAAACGTGTATCATGTCATTTTAAAAATCTAAAAAAAGCACACAAAAGATGAATAAAAAGCAATGGGGCCTGGCAAGGTGGCTCACGCCCTTAATCCCAGCACTTTGGGAGGCCGAGGTGGGAGGATCACCTGAGGTCAGGAGTTCAAAATCAGCCTGGCCAACATGGCAAAACTCCGTTCTACTAAAAATACAAAAATTAGCCAGGTGTGGTGCTGGGCACCTGTGATCCCAGGTACTCTAGAGACTGAGGCAGGAGAATCGCTTGAACCCGGGAGGTGGAGGTTGCAGTGAGCTGAGATCACGCCATTGCCCTCCAGCCTGGTGACAGATGGAGACCTCCATCTCAAAAAAAAAAAAACAAAAAAAAAAGCAATGTTGATAGGACTAGGAATAAGGAGATCAAATGTGGAATGGAGTAGTTGGAAAAGACAGGAAAGAAGTCAAAACACGGTTAGATTTAGGGAGCGGGGAAAGGGATAAGGAGACAATGAACGCTGAGTGATGGGAATGTGAGCCAAGTGGGTAGCAAGCCACAGGGTTGAATTAGAAGCATTGGTCAGATTGGGGAGGTACTTGGATGTCACACAATATCTTGTGGGTTTTAGCCAGAAGGGAGAGTCAGTTACAAAGAATTTGTGACATAATAAAATATGTCCTTTTTAAGACAAAAACAAAAACAGACAAAACTCTTTCATTTGATTTTAGAAAAAGTTTTAGTCATGCAAAGATGTATTTATAAAAGTATAATTTTTTAATCTTTGTTACAGTTAACAAGACTTCCAGGAGAGCTATCTAATATGACTCAACTTAAAGAACTTGATATCTCAAATAATGCAATCAGAGAGATTCCAAGAAATATAGGAGAATTGAGAAATTTGGTTAGTTTGCATGCATACAATAATCAAATAAGTTATATTCCACCATCTTTGCTATCTTTAAATGATCTCCAGCAACTAAACCTGAGTGGTGAGTGTCAAGCATAATCAGTAAGCATAATCAATAAGTAGAGTATTAATGTCTGAGTTGCAAATTTTGTTGACAAGATACAGAATGGCAAAGAGTCAACATAATGTATTAAGTCACCATTAGATGGAAATGACTGTCCTAGGTACAGAAAATGAAAGCAAAGTATAAGGTCCAGTTCCTGCCTTGAAAGAGTAGAGGAGCCTGAACATATTTTCATTTCTTTTCTCTCTTCTCTGCCTATACCCAGTCATTTAGTATTTCTTCCCTTTCTGAACCCAACCTCACCTCTTCCTCTACACACACCTACACAACCTCAGGTCAGCATTTTTTCTGCATTTCCTTCTCTGTTGGGAAGGAAGAAGAAAAAACTATCTCTGTTGTTTGGATAAGGAGCATGGAACCTATGTCTATGGCAAGACTTGGGAGCCAGGCCTATGAAGTAGGAGTCAGATCAAAACAGGTAGGCGGGTTCATTATTTGACATTCATTGAAGCAAATATTCTGAAGTATAAATATATATATATATTTATTTTGAGACAAGGTCTCACTCTGTTGCCCAAGCTGGAGCACAGTAGCAGGATCATGGCTCACTGCAGCCTTGACCTCTCTAGGCTCAGGTGATCCACCAGCCTCAGCCTCCCAAAGTGATGGGATTACAGGCGTGAGCCACCATGCCCAGTCAGCAGTGTCTTTAAAAGCTTAATCTTGGAAGTGACATAACACCACCTCTGCTCTGTTCTATTGATCACACAGACCAACCTTGGTATAATGTCGGAAGGGACTATACAAGGGGGTGAGTAACAGGAGGTAGATAGCATTGTGGGCTAACAGATAGTCCTAAATCTATTTGAGTAATCGAATTTGTGGTTAGAAGCTCTCATACAAAGAAAATTTCTAGCTCAGATAACTTCACTGGTGAATTCTATCAAGTATTTTATAGAAGAAACAATGCAAATTTCAAAAAGGTGCACTGGTGAATTCTTTCAAGTATTTTCAAGAAGAAATCACTAAGTTAGGGTGGGCACGGTGGCTCATGCCTGTAATTCCAGCACTTTGGGAGGCTGAGGCGGGCGGATCGCTTGAGGTCAGGAGTTTGATGCCAGCCTGGCCAATGTGGTGAAACCCCATCTCTACTTAAAAAAAAAAAAATTAGTCGGGTATGGTGGGGCACACCTGTAATCAAAATCAAAACTACTCAGGAGGCTGAGGCAGGAGAATCGCTTAGACCCAGGAGGTGGAGGTTGCAGTGAGCTGAGATTGTGCCACTGCACTCTAGGCTGGGTGACAGAGTGAGACTCTGTCTGAAAGAATGAAGGAGAGAGAGAGAGAGAGAGAGAGAGAGAGAGAGAGAGAAAGAGAGAAAGAGAAAATAATGACAATTTTAAAAATTCTGTCATAAAATTGAGGCTAAAACCTGTCTCAGTTCATTCTACGAGGCCAGCACTATCCTAATACTATAATAAAACAAATACATTACTTGGAAACTTACAGAATAATATCCTGCTTGAACATTGATGCAAAATTCCTTAATGAATTAAAGCAAATCAAATCCATCAATATAAAAAATGATATCATATTGTGACCAAGAGCGATTTACCCTGGGAATACAAGGTTGAGTCAATATTCAAAAACTAATCCATGTAATTCACCATCTGAACAGGCTTATGAAAAGCCATATGAACTTCTCACTGTAAGTATAAAAAGCAAAGCAAGCAGATGTGGTGGTTCATGCCTATAATCCCAGCTATTTGGAAGACTTAGGCAGGAGGATTACTTGCGCCTGGGAGTTTGAGGCTGCAGTGAGTTATGATTGTGCCACTGCGTTCCAGCTTGGGCAACAGAACAAGACCTCATCTCAAAAAAAAAAAAAAAAGCAAATATCATATGAAAAAATAAAATTTCCTTTCAAGATTTTCAAAAACAAACAACAACAACAAAAAAACTCACTAAGCTAGAAATAGAAGAGAATTTCCTCAACCTGAAAAAGTGCATCTGCAAAACTCCTATAGCTAATATCACACGCCATGGTAAACAATTTCTTTTCCACTATGATCAAGATTAAAGTAAAGTTCTCCTTTCTCACCACTTCTTTTTGATGTTATAACTGGAAGTCCCAACTAGCACAAAAACACAAGAAAAAGAAATAAAAAGTAAACAGATTGGGAAGGAAGAAGAAAAAACTATTTCTGATAATAGAGACACATTGTCTAGGTCAAAAATCCCAAAGGATCTACAGAACAAGTAAGTTTGGCAAGATTGCCATATACAGAGTTAATAAACAAAAATCAATCATATTTCTACAGACTAGCAATAAATTATTGGAAATTGATTTCTTTAAAAGTATAATTTAAAATTGTACCAAAACCATAAATAAATCTAACAAATTACATATAAGATCTATATGGTGAAAACTGTAACATAGATAAAACTAAATAAGACCTAAATAAGTAGAGAGATAGTGTTCATAAATTGGAAGACAATATTGTTAATATGTCAGTTTCCCAAAACTTATCTTTAAATTCAACTCAATTCCAGTAAAAATCCTAGCAAAGTTTTTTGTTTCAGAAAACAATGAGGTAATTATAAAATGTATATAAAAAGTCAAAGGAACTAGAATAGCTGAAACAATTTTGAAGAAGAAAAACAAAGTTGGATGATTCACAAACCTGATTTCAAGACTTATGTAAACTATAGTCATGAAGACAGTGATAGTATTGGCAAAACAACAGACATAAGGATCAATGGGACAGAATAGAGAGTCTAGAAATAGATCCACTATGATGGTTAACATTGAGTGTCAACTTGATTGGATTGCAGGATGCAAAGTATTGTTCCTGGGTGTGTCTGTGAGGGTGTTCCCAAAGGAGATTAACATCTGAGTCAGTGGACTGGGCGAGGCAGACCCACCCTCAATCTGGGTGGGCACAATCAGCTGCCAGCTCTGCTAGAATGAAGCAGGCAGAAGAACGTGGAAGGACTAGACTGGCTATGTCTTCTGGCCTCCATCTTTCTCCCATGCTGGATGCTTCCTGCCCTCAAACACTGGACTCCAAGTTCTTCAGCTTTTGCACTCTTGGACTTACACCCCTGGTTTGCCAGGGGCTCTAGGGCCTTTGGCCACAGACTGAAGGCTGCACTATCGGCTTCCCTACTTTTGAGGTTTCAGGACTTGGACTTGCTTCTTTGTGCCTCAGCTTGCAGATGGCAGACTTCACCTCGTGGTTGTGTGAGTCAATACTCCTTAATAAACTCCCTTTTATAATTAGTCCTGTCCCTCTAGAGAACCCTGACTGATATACCCACTATGTGGTCAACTGATTTTTTGCCATGGTAGTTCCCCCTTATCCACAGTTTCAGTTTCCATAGTTTTACTCATGGTCAACAGTGGTCTGAAAATATTAACTGGGAAATTCCAGAAATAAACAATTCATAAGTTTAAAATGGTGCACTTTTCTGAGTAGCGTGATGAAATCTCACACTGTCCTACCTGGGATGTGAATCCATTCAGTGGATGTGCTCCCTGCCTGTCAGTCACTTAGTAGCAGTCTCAGTTATCAGATCCACTGTCACAGTATCGCAGTGCTTGTGTTCATGTAACCCTTATTTTACTTATTAATGGCCCTAAAGCACAAGAGTAGTGATGCTGGCAATTCGGATACACCAAAGAGAAGCCTTAAAGTGCTTCTCTTAAGTGAAAAGGTGAAAGTTCTCAACTTGGAAGGAAAAGAATCATATGATGAAGTCGCTAAGATGTACGCTAAGGACAAATATTCTATCAATGAAATTGTGAAGATGGAAAAAGAAATTTGTGCCAATTTTGCTGTTGCACCTCAAACTACACAAATTACAGCCACAGTGCATGATAAGTGCTTAGTTAAGAAGGAAAAGGCATTAAATTTGTGGGTGAAAGACATGAACAGATGTGTTCTGATTGACAGCAATCATGTTTGATACTGTATTCGGTTTGTAGGCATCAGCTGGGGGGTCTTGGAAGGTATCTCCCATGGATAAGGAGGAACTACTATAATCCAACAGAGAAAGAACATTATTTTCAACAAATATTGCTGGATCAACTGGATGTCCAAAAGCCAAAACAAAACAAAATAAAGCAAAAACAAACAAACAACCGCAATATAATTTTGATCCTACACACCAAATAAAAATATTACCTCACAATGAATCACAGACCTAAATGTAAAAGCTAAAACTACAAAACTTCTAGATAAGAACATAGAAAAATATTATTTTGCAAAAAAAAAAAAAAGGTGAAAAAATATTAAAAGGCTGGGTGTCATGGCTCATGCCTATAGTCCCATAACTTTGGGAGGCTGAGATGTGAGGATTGCTTGAGACTCAGGAGTTTAGGACCATCCTGGGCAACACGGGGAAACCCCATCTCTACAAACAAAATACGAAAAGATTAGCTGGGTATGGTGGTGCACTCCTGTAGTCCCAGCTACTTGAGAGGCTGAGGTGGGAGGATCACTTGAACCCATGAGGCTGAGGCTGCAGTGAGCCAAGATCGTGCCACTGCACTCCAGCCTGGGTGACAAAGCCAGACCCTGTCTCAAAAAAACAAGGTGAAAAAAAATCAAAACCTTGGCAAGGATTTCTTATATACAACACTGAAACTGCAATCCACAAATGAAAATAATTGATAAGTTGGTTTTCATCAAAATTGGAAACTTCTCAGCTGGGCACGATAGCTCATGCCTGTAATCCCAGCACTTTGGAAAGCTGAGGCGGGTGGATCTCCTGACGTCAGGAGTTCAAGACCAGCCTGGCCAACATGGGGAAACCCTCTCTCTACTAAAAGTACAAAAAAATTAGCCAGGCATGGTGGCGGGTGCCTGTAATCCCAACTACTTGGGAGGCTGAAGCAGGAGAATCACTTGAATCCAGGAAGCGGAGGTTACAGTGAGCCAAGATGGTGCCACTGCACTCCAGCTTGGGTGACAAGAGCAAGACTAAAGGCTTCTTTAAATTTTTTAATTTTTTAATTTTTTTTTTTTTTTTTTTTTTTTTTTTTTTTACAACAGAGTCTTGCTGTGTCACGCAGCCTGGAGTGCAGTGATGCAATGTAGGCTCACTGCAGCTTCTGCCTCTGGGGTTTCCTGCCTCAGCCTCCTGAGTAGCTGGGATTACAGGTACCTGCTACCATGCCTGGCTAATTTTTGTATACTTTTAGTAGAGATGGAGTTTCACTAGGTTGCCCAGACTTGTCTCGAATTCCTGACCTCAAGTTATCCACCTGCCTCGGCCTCCCAAAGTGCTGAGATTATAGGCATGAGCCACTGTGCCCAGCTCAGACATTTTTTAAAAGAATGAAAAGCAAAGTCATGGATTGGAAGAAAATATTTGCTTAATACAAAAAAAAAAAAAAAAAAAAAAAAAAACCTAAAAACAAAATTAAGAAGTCAAACCACTTAATAAAAATTGGTATAAATTTTGAACAGATAATTTACTAAGAAGCTATATGAATTAAAAATAAGCATAAGAGGCTGGGCGTGGTGGCTCATGCCTATAATCCCAGCACTTTGGGAGGCTGAGGCAGGTGGATCACTTGAGGTCAGTAGTTCAAGACCAGCCTGGCCAACATAGTGAAACTCCATCGCTACTAAAAATACAAAAATTAGCTGGGCATGGGGCTTGCGCCTATGGTCCCTGCTACTTGGGAGGCTGAGGCACAAGAATAGTGTGAACCCTGGAGGCGGAAGCTGCAATGAGCTGAAATCACACCACTACACTCCAGACTGGGTGACAGAGCTAGACTCTGTCTCAAAATAAAAAAGAAAGAAAGAAAGGAAGAAAAGAAGCATACCAAAATATTATGCTTATTAGTCATATTAGAGAAATGCAAATTAACTATACAATGAAATATTGCTATTAGAATAGTTAAAATTAGGCTGGGCGCGGTGGCTCATGCCTGTAATTCCAGCACTTTGGGAGGCCCAGGTGGGCGAATCACGGGGTCAGGAGTTTGAGACCAGCCTGGCCAATATGGTGAAACCCTGTCTCTATTAAAACTACAAAAATTAGCCCGTGTGGTGGCACGCGCTTATAGTCCCAGCTACTCAGGAGACTGAGGCAGAAGAATTGCTTGAACCAGGGAGGTGGAGGTTGCAGTGAGCCGAGATCATCCCACTGCATTCCAGCTTGGGCGACAGAGTGAGACTCCACCCAAAAAAAAAAAAAAAAAAAAGGGATAGTTAAAATTAAAATCTGGTAATACCAAAAGCTATCAAAATACAAGTAACTGAAACTCTGATACACTGATGAAAGAAATACAAAATGGTACAACCCTTTAGAAAAGTTTGGTAGTTTCTTATATAGTTATACATACACTTAACCATACAAACCATCAATCTCACTTTGACTCCTCTTTTACATGAAATTAAAATGTATTCAACAAAAAACTGAGTGCAAATTTATAGAGAAGCTTCCTTTGTAATTGCCAAAACTGGAAGCTCTTCAAATGTCTTTTATGTATTAAATGGATAAATTATTTACATCTATATAATGGAATACTTCTCATTACTAAAAAGAAAAAAAAAACTATTGATACACACAACAACACTGATGTTGTTGTAATGCTAAGTGAAAGAAGCCAGACCCTAAAGACTATGTGCTGTGATTTATAACATATATGTTATACATGTATGTGTGTGCATATATACATATATAAAATTCTAGGTTTATAATAAATATATTTTACATACATACACTCCCAGAAACACTGTATCCAGATCTTGGTTTCTAAATATGATTATTCACTAAAAGGAACCAGGTTCCTTTATCTATGTTTATAAATAACATAACTATAAAATATATAAATAATATAAAGGCAAATTTTAGGCCTCTCTAAATGATTACAAATTCATTTTTGCGACAGTTTTACGTCTTTTTTTTTTTTTTTTGAGATGGAGTTCCGCTCTTGTCTCCCAGGCTGGAGTGCAATGGCACTATCTCGGCTCCCTGCAACCAGTAGCTGGGATTACAGGTGCCCACCACCATGCTTGGCTAATTTTTGTATCTTTAGTAGAGATGGGGTTTTGCCATGTTGGCCAGGCTGATCTCGAACTCCTGACCTCAGATGATCCACCCACCTTGGCCTCCTGAAGTGCTGGGATTACAGGCATGAACCACTGTGCCCACCCCAGTTTTACATTTTATGTTAGGTTTATATTGGATTACGATGGTACTGAAAAAATTACATTTAGGAAGGAGAGTTTAATTCCCACTCCCCCTTGAGGGTAGCCTAGATTTAGTGACTTACTCCCAAAGAATAGAGTATGGAAAGGAAAAAAATTATAACATTATCCTGGAGAACGCTGGCAGAGACTGTGTTATCCAAGAGATAAAATTTAACATCATTAGTGATGTCATGTGGATATGAGGTATCTCTGATATAATGTGATAAGTGCACTTCACCTCTGTGGTATTCTTTTCAAAAACCCATAACCCCAGTCTAATAATGAGAACATATCAGACAAATTCAAGTTATGGTACATTCTACAAAATTCATAACCAGTACTTCTTAAAACTATCAAGGTCATGAAAAACAAGGGAAGATTGAGAAACTCTCACAAACCAGAGGCGACTAATGAGATATAACTGTATGCAATGAGATTTCCTGAGACAGAAAAAGGACACTGATGGAAAAACTAATGAATCTAAAGAAGTCTGAAGTGTATTTAGTAGTAATGTACCAATACTGGTTTCTTAGATTAAACTAATGTAATATGATAATGTGAGATAACATTAGGAGAAACTAAAGCTAGATGACGAATGCGGAAGAACTTGCTACAATCTCTGCAACATTTCTATGAATCTAAAATTATGCTAAATAAACAGTTTAGTTTAAAAATTACCATCACATCCACTCTATAAAGTTCTTTGCTGTATTAAAAGAGGATAGTCTCTGTCTCATTTTGCCACTCCTAGGAGAGAAAGCAACCACAGCTGTCTTTCTATAAACACTCTTTTTTGCTCTTAGCATGTGGACATCCGAAATAATTTATGACCTGCTGCATTGTGAGGGTCCTCTGGTACTTTGTCAGCAAGACATAATAGATGTTATTTGTCTCCATAGTTATCTTTTATAGAAAGATGTAATTCAACTCTAATTTTTTTCTACTAGGAAATAATCTGACAGCTCTACCTAGTGCTATCTACAATCTTTTTTCACTGAAGGAGATAAATTTTGATGACAACCCTTTGCTGAGACCTCCAATGGAAATCTGTAAAGGAAAACAGTTGTACACTATTGCACGCTATCTACAGAGGGCAGATGAAAGAGATGGTAGGTGGTGAGTGATTGACTATCTAAGAAGTCATTTCTCTTTTATTTTATTTTAATTTAATTTTTTTGGAGACAGGGTCTCACTCTGACACCCAGGCTAGACTATAGTGGCATGATCACGATTCCCTGCGGCCTCGGACTCCTGGGCTCTAGTGATCCTCCCACCTCAGCCTCCTGAGTAGCAGGGACTGCAGGTGTGCATCACTGCGCCTGGCTGATTTTTTAATCTTCTAGTAGAGACGGGTCTCACTATGTTGCCCAGGCTAGTCTTGAACTCCTGAGCTCAAGCAATCCTCCTGTCTTGGCCTCCCAGTGTTGGGATTACAGGTGTAAGCCACCACACCCAGCCACAAGACACTATCTCATATGAATTAAAAGACGGTTTGCTTTAATTGGAGGCTTTCAATCTGGCAGAGATATGAAAAAATTGATCATCTTTCTTTTCTGAAGGTTAGGAGTTTGTTTTGATAATTCAGATTATTTAATCCAGGTCCATACAAATTGAGGCACTGAAAATAGGCAAATCCAAGTGGTGGAGGGGTGGGCCATTTCCTACCCTATTGACCTTAATGCCCTTCAATAGGTGTTTCATTGAGATTGTGGCCAGACTCAAAATCCACACAGAAATCTGTCAGTTTCATTCTGTTCTAACAAATGGAGTTGTTCTAAAAGACATTTGGAGTTGGGTGTGGTGGCTCACGCCTGTAATCCGAACACTTTGGGAGGCCAAGGCAGGAGAATCACTTGAGCTCAGAAGTTCGAGACCAGCCTGGGCCACATAGTGTGACCTTGTCTCTATTTTTAAGATAGATAGATAAATAAATAAATAAATAAATAAATAAATAAATAAATAAATAAAATACATTTGGCCTTGAGGGAAGTCCACGGAGCCATTCCACAGATGGCACTCAGTCTTTGGCCCACTATGACTATTGTCTGAAATATTTTGACAGTCTTTATCCCATCTGTCCTTGAGCTCTCTGTTGTGTGTCTGATTATTTCTGAGAACAGGCCCATTTTCTTTAAAAGGGACTAGATGAAGATTGGTTTCAAGTGTCTCGGAGGGAACCTTCACTGTCCAATTCTTTCCCTGGGGCTGGGTTCCCAACAGTTAGGCTTTTCCCTATAGGACTCTGATTTGCCACTTTTCATCACTAGTTAGAAAGAATTCAGATTTTGGTCCTCTAATTTAAAGCAAGAGAACAATCCGTTATGATCCAGATTTGGGGAAATGGAATATCCAAAACTGTCCCCTCAGATCATTCTATCATGTATCTTGTCTACATAATCGGGAGCTTGTACTAATGTAATTTCATAGTGAGATAGTCACAAAAAATTGCTTAGTCCTTAAAGTCACAATATACATCCATATACACGGCTATCATTTAGAGGCTTTTCTAAGACTTGGGCTTTATTGATAAAGGAACCTAAAATATAAAATTAAAAGCCACAGTAGCTGCCTTCTTTAACTTACTGTGCAAGTTGATTGTCCTACTTGTTACTATAAAAACTTTTTTTATAGTACTTTTGGCCAGGTGCGGTGGCTCATGCCTGTAATCCCAGCACTTTGGGAGGCCAAGATGGGTGAATCACGAGGTCAGTAGTTCGAGAGCAGCCTGGCCAACATGGTGAAATCCCATCTCTACTAGAAATGCAAAAAATTAGCTGGGCGTGGTGGTGGGCACCTGCAATCCCAGTTACTCGGGAGGCTGAAGCAGGAGAATCGCTTGAACCCGGGAGGCAGAGGTTGCAGTGAGCCGAGATAGAACCACTGCACTCCAGCCGGGGCGACAATGCGAGACTCCGTCTAAAAAAAAGAAAGGATCTTTTATGGTAATTATATTTCTATAAAATAAAGATTTTAGGAGTTTTCTAGGATCCATAAAGTATTTCTGTTAGGTACATTACTTTAGAGAAAGGTTTAGAATCTCAGCCATTTATCTCCTTTCCCTACGCCCAAGGAGCCTTCATATTGCAGGCTTGGCATCCAATGAGGGCAAAGAGAAATCAGCTTGGGAGATGTATTTATTCTGCAATTAACAAATGGAGTATTTTTCTTTTTTTTTTTTTTTTCTTTTCGAGATGGAGTCTTGCTCTGTGGCCCAGGTTGGAGTGCAGTGGCCCCATCTCTGCTCACTGCAAGCTCCGCCTCCCGGGTTCACGCCATTCTCCTGCCTTAGCCTCCGGGGTAGCTGGGACTACAGGCGCCCGCCACCACGCCCGGCTAATTTTTTGTATTTTTAATAGAGATGGGGTTTCACCATGTTGGCCAGGATGGTCTCGATCTTCTGACCTTGTGATCCGCCCACCTCGGCCTCCCAAAGTGCTGGGATTACAGGCCTGAGCCACCGCGCCCGGCCGAACCTTTTTCTTAAACTTTTATATAGAAGATTGGAATTTTATATATATCATAGCATGAAATATAGCCTGAGAGAGTATATATAAAACTTTTTAAAATAGAACATATTTGATCATGGTGGATGGTAAATCTCGAGTTCCAAAAATTCTCACAGGCTGGGAGTAGTGGCTCACACCTGTAGTTCCAGGACTTTGGGAGGCCAAGGCAGGAGGATTGCTTGAGCCCAGGAGTTTGAGACTAGCTTGGGCAATATAATGAGACCCTATTGCTTCTCAGCCTTTTGGCTAAGATGAAGTATAGTGAGACCCTGTTGCTACAAAAAAATTTGAAAACTGAGGTGAGCAGAGAACTTGAGGCCAGGAGTTTGAGACTGGCCTGGCCAACATGCCAAAACCCCATCTCTACTAAAAATACAAAAATTAGCTGGACATGGTGGTACGTGCCTGTAGTTCCAACTACTCAGGAGGCTGAGGCAGGAGAATTGCTAATCTGGAGGCGCCTGTAGTTCCAGCTAATCAGGAGGCAGAGGTTGCAGTGAGACGAGATCCCGCCACTGTACTCTAGCCTGGGTGACAGAGCCAGACTTTGTCTCAAAATAAGTAAATAAATAAAAATTAAAAATAATAAATTAGCCAGGCATGGTGGCACAACCCATGGTCCCAGCTACTTGTGGGGGTGAAGTGGGAGAGTCATTTGAGCCCGGGAGGTCGAGGTTGTGGTGACCTGTGATTATGCCACTGCACTCCAGTCTGAGTAACAGAGTGAGACCCTGTCTAAAAAAAAGAAAAGAAAAAACTCACAGTACCTTTGACCAGAAAAAATGGGTCTTGTTCAAATTAGCTGGAAGTTTTAATTAAAAACACTAAAATCACTAATTGTTCAGCCAACTTATTAAATAATTGACTTGAATATAAAATATGCACATATACACCATATTTATAGTAGATGTGAACTTAGTTTCTCAAGTTGGTACATGATGAAGCACATACAATTGTTGTCCATATTCCCTACCAAACAAAACAAAACAAAACAAAACATTCCCACACACATTAAAAAGCCAGAATTGAAGGAAGGAGTCAAATGCATTTCAAATCGTGGAGAAATAAATGGCTTGGAAATCACTTTAAAGTTGCTTATAAATAGGCCGGGTGCGGTGACTCATGCCTGTAATCCCAGCACTTTGGGAGGCTGAGGCGGGCAGATCACCTGAGGTCAGGAGTTTGAGACCAGCGTGACAAACATGAGAAACCCCATCTCTATTAAAAATACAAAAAATTAGCCGGGTGTGGTGGCGCATCCCAGCTACTCGAGAGGCTGAGGCAGGAGAATGACTTGAACCCCGGAGGCAGAGGTTGTGGTGAGCCGAGATCACACCATTGCACTCCAGCCTGGGCAACAAGAGTGAAACTCTGTCTCAAAAAAAAGATAAAAAGTTGCTTATAAATAATCTTTTCAATGGCCATTTTAAGTGTTGGATTTTTTGGATTTTAGAAAAAAAATGTTTCAAATTTCAGTTTATATTTTAGATCCGCATTGTCATTGTCATTTTTTTTTTTTCATGAGACGGAGTTTTGCTCTTGTTGCCCAGGCTGGAGTGCAGTGGCGCAATCTTGGCTCACGGCAACCTCTGCCTCCTGGGTTCAAGCTATTCTCCTGCCTGAGCCTCCTGAGTAGCTGGGATTACAGGCATGCGCCACCACACACGGCTAATTTTTTGTGTTTTTAGTAGAGACGGGGTTTCTCCATGTTGGTCAGGCTGATCTTGAACTCGTGACCTCAGGTGATCCACCCGCCTTGGCCTCCCAAAGTGCTGGGATTACAGGCATGAGCCACCAAGCCTGGCTGCCATTGTCTTCCTTTTTTTTTTTTTCTTTTTGAGACAGTCTTGCTTTGTTGCCCAGGCTGGAGTACAGTGGTGAGGTCTCAGCTCACTGCAACCTCTGCCTTCCCGGTTCAAGTGAGTCTCCTGCCTCAGCCTCCTGAGTAGCTGGGACTATAGGCACACACCACCACGCCCGGCTAATTTTTATATTTTTATTAGAGATGGGGTTTTGCCATGTTGGCCAGGCTGGTCTTGAACTCTTGACCTCAGGTGATCCACCTGCCTCGGCTTCCCAAAGTGCTGGGATTACAGGCGTGAGCCACTGTGCCCGGCCAGCATTGTCATTTTCAGTTTTACTTAACATATACATTTCACAGAAGCACAGAAATAAGAAAACTAGATATGAACTCAAAATAGATTATCTTTTGCAAAAGATATACGTTTTCTTTTATCTTCAAACATAGAGAAAATCTTAGAGAAGATATTCAAGATAGTTGCCAACAACATCACTGAAACCAATTTTGAATTTTTATGTCAAAAACTAAACCTGGCAAACTCAGAAACTGATATGCCTACAAAGAGGTATGTATAAATGACAGCTTTTAGTACAAATTTATTCTCATTCTGATGTATATCATGTTGATATTGAATGGTTTTGAAACATTCATATTAACACAATCTTTACTTTGCTATAGAAAGCTGATTTTAGTATTACATGTTTGTGATCCATGTTGGAAGGCTATATAACATAATGAAGAACAAGGGCTATGAGGACAGACTGTTTGACTTTTACTCACAACTGGTTTTGTGACCTTGGGCAAATCCTTTAACTTCTTGATGACTTGGTTTCTTCACTGGTAAAATGGATATACTCATGTAAGAGAATTGTCATGAGAATCAAGTGAGATCAAGCTATAAAGCATATAGTAACCAGGCGTGGTGGCTCACGCCTGTAATCCCAGCACTTTGGGAGGCTGAGGTGGGCGGGTCATGAGGTCAGGAGATGGAGACCATCCTGGCTAACACGGTGAAAACCCGTCTCTCCTAAAAATACAAAAAATTAGCTAGGGGTGGTGAGCGCCTGTAGTCCCAGCTACTTGGGAGGCTGAGGCAGAAGAATGGCATGAACCCGGGAGGCGCCACTGCACTCCAGCCTGGGAGACAGTGAGACTCCATCTCAAAAAAAAAAAAAAAAAAAAAAAAAAAAAAGGCATAGAGTATAGTAGCAGTAATATACTGGTTTATTAGAAATAACCCACAATTATGATTTTGAGGTCTTGAGAACTGAATGTAAATTGAATTGTTGATTTTCTATAAGGGAACAAGGGATGCGCTGGAGCTAACATTCACTTTCTATGTCCCCAGCTCCATGCTATTTTTTTTTTTTTTTTTTTTTTTGAGATGGAATCTTGCTCTGTCGCCCAGGCTGGAGTGCAGTGGCGCGATCTCTGCTCACTGCAAGCTCCACCCCCCAGGTTCACGCCATGCTTCTGCCTCAGCCTCCCATGTAGCTGGGACTACAGGCGCCCGTCACCATGCCCGGCTAATTTTGTTTTGTATTTTTAGTAGAGATGGGGTTTCACCGTGTTAGCCAGGATGGTCTCGATCTCCTGACCTCGTGATCCGCCCGTCTCGGCCTCCCAAAGTGCTGGGATTACAGGCGTGAGCCACGGTGCCCGGCCCATGCTAAATTTTTATAGAGATTCTCTTCACCAATTAATTTCATCTTCACTTTGGTAAAATTAGTTTGAAAACCTAGATATACAATATTACAGGAGTTTAAAGCAATGTTCTTAATTGACATTTCAAATAATTATTAGTAATTTTAATATATTAAACATTAATACATATTTAACTATTATATTATTAATAATGTTTTTCAGCACTGTTTCATTAAGTGAGAGAGCCCACCAAGCACTTGTTATATGGAAAACACAGAGTAACAAATTATCACTAACTGCTGCTGCTTTAAGAGATCAACTAATTCGAGCACTAACTATGATAGGAGCATATGAAATTATGGACAAAATAACAGCTTTAAATCTTTTTACACGTGCAATTAAATTCTAACCAGTGGATCAATAATAAAAACTGAAAACTTTTGATGCACTTATAATTGAAACTGTGTTTTTGAACCATTTCACTTCACTTTATCATACAAGAGAATTACATCTCTTTTCTTGCATTCTTAAGAGATGATGACAACTTATAACTACCACTCTAATGTTATCATAATAAAATATTACAGACACTGTGTTGTGTGTTTGCTCTGTTGTCTTACTACAGTGATGTTGAATTTGAAAATAATTGCTTTTTTTTTTTTTTTCCCTGAGATGAAGTTTTGCTCTTGTTGGCCAGGCTGGAGTGCAGTGGCGTGAATTTGAAAATTATTCCTTTTATTTTTGAGATGGAGTTTTTGCTCTTGTTGCCCAGGCTGGAGTGCAGTGGTGTGATCTCGGCTCACTGCAACCTCTGCCTCCTGTGTTCAAGTGATTCTCCTGCCTCAGCCTCCCGAGTAGCTGGGACTACAGGTGCCCACCACTACGCTGGGCTAATTTTTGTATTTTTAGTAGAGACGGGATTTCACCATGTTGGGCAGGATGGTCTCCATCTCCTGACCTTGTGATCTGCCTGCCTGGGCCTCCCAAAGTGCTGAGATTACAGGCGTGAGCCACCATGCTCAGCCTGAAAATAATTATGTTAAAATTTTTCTGTTATATAGTGCTTTTATACAACCCACGATTTATAGGTATCAACATTACTAGTGATTTTCACTGGAGTTAGAAAGCAGAACAGTTTCTTTTTAGATGCTGGCTTAAAAACAGAAATAAATATACCATTCCTACTTTTTCTTCATTAGGAAGGGGATAGCTTTGTTAAACACAAACTAGGGCCAGGGGCAGTAATCCTTTAGTTGAGTGTCCAGACAGGATTGACAGAGTGGCCATCTGTTGTCTTGTCTGTCACGTGAGCCTCTCCCCTTCTTCCGCTATCAGAAAACCTCTTTCATAGGGGGAATGCATTGCACTTATTTCAATGTGGAGCTGACCTTGTCGTGTAAATCTCTTCCCCGACTCCAGCACTAACATCAATGTCTTCTACTCATGTAACCACAATGATTGATTTTGACTCAGGGAAAGTCATTTGACTCAAGCCAGGCCATTAACAGTTTCCCTTGGATCTTTTTGCAGAGCTACCAGGGAAGATGCACTCTTCTTGCGGGTAGGTTATGAGTCTTGGAGTCTTGATATATCATGCACAGTGTGTAGTAGTCTGCCGAGAGCTGGATGGCGTGAGAGAGACAGAACCTTGTTTATATTGTCTGATCCTCAATCCCCATATCTGAAGCTTATTTTACTTCTGCACTTTTTACTTTTTACCCACTTAAGGAGTGTGACCTGGGTTTCCATAACTTTGAATGGAAAGAGACCTAATACAAGTGGTTAAGAATATTGTGGAGGCCAGGCATGGTGGCTCATGCCTGCAATCCCAGCACTTTGGGAGGCCGAGATGGGTGGATCATGAGGTCAGGAGATCGACCATCCTGGCTAACACGGTGAAACCCCGTCTCTACTAAAAATACAAAAAAATAGCCAGGTGTGGTGGTGGGTGCTTGTAGTCCCAGCTACTCGGGAGGCTGAGGCAGGAGAATGGCATGAACCCAGGAGGTGGAGCTTGCAGTGAGCCGAGATGGCACCACTGCACTCCAGCCTGGGCAACAGAGCAAGACTCTGTCTCAAAAAAAAAAAAAAAAAAAAAAGAATATTGTGGACATAGTGCAGTTTTTGTTACCTTAAAAAATAATTTTCTATGTGAGACCATGTTAAAGAAAGAAATTTATTTTGCAGGTTAAAATTTAAAGTGTATATTTTGTTGCCATTTTGGAAGTGCAACATAACATATTGGTTTAACAACTATACAGCCTGTGTCTCTAATCCTTCCTATTTTAAAACTTCTCGCAGTAGGGATAAGAGTACCTGTGGGTTTATGTTGGCTTAATGATGGTTGTTGTTAATGTTTTCCACTGGAGGCAAGGTACTTCCATAGAACATTGAAGTGTGAAGGACCTTGGAAATTGTCTAGTGAAGTCTATCTTCTCATTTCACAAATGAGCAAACTTAAGACCTAAAAAAATTTAAGTGACATGAACTGGTTTCTCTACTATTCCTTCAAAAATGAAGTTATAAAGACTAGAAAATGTTCTGGGTGAAGCTTTGATATGAAGTAAGAGAGAGAGACAGAGAGAAAAGAAGAAAGCTGGGTAACATCAGAACCATCAAAGTGTCAGTTCTTATCAAGTCTTGCTAAATTGCTACAATTCTACACCTTTTAACAAATATCCTAGCCTATAGTCTCACCCAGACCACACTGTACATTGCTACGAGACTTACCTTCTAAAAACATTGATCTAACCGTATCACCCTCTGATCCAATTTTTTTTTTTTTCGAGATGGGCTTTGCTCTTATTGCCCAGACTGGAGTGCAATGGCGTGATCTCGGCTCACTGCAACCTCCGCCTCCCGGGTTCAAGCGATTCTCCTGCCTCAGCCTCCAGAGTAACTGGGATTACAGGCAACTGCCACCATGCCCAGCTAATTTTTTGTATTTTTAGTAGAGTTGGAGTTTCACTATGTTGGCCAGACTGACCTCAGGCGATCCACCCCTTGGCTTCCCAAAGTGCTGGGATTATAGGCATGAGCCACCGCGCCCAGCCCAAAAATCTTTTTAAAAATATTGGAAAATAGGCCAGGTGCGGTAGCTTACTCCTGTAATCCCAGCACTTTGGGAGGCTAAGATGGGTGGATCATCTGAGGTCAGGAGTTTGAGACCAGCCTGGCCAACATGGTGAGATCCCGTCTCTACTAAAAATACAAAAATTAGCCAGGCATGGTGGCGCATGCCTGTAGTCCTAGCTACTTGGGAAGCTGAGGCAGGAGGATCTCTTGAGCCCAGGAGGTGGAAGTTGCAGTGAGCCAAGATTGTGCCACTGCTCCGGCCTGGGCGACAGAGTGAGATCTCCGTCTGAAAAACAAACAAAATAAAACAAAAAGAAAAAAAACAGAAAGAAAAAAGTGTCCAGCTGACTTCATTGCAGAAATTGACAAACTGATCGTAAAATGAAATAAACCTAAAGGGACCCAAAGTAGTCAAAACAATCTTGAAAATGATTAACAAAGTTGGAGAACTCATACTTCTCACTTTCCTTCTGTCTTTTTTTTTTTTTTTTTTTTTTAAATGAGACAGGGCCTCACTCTGCTGCCCAAGCGGGAGTGCAGTGGCACAATCACAGCTCACTGCAGCCTCAACCTCTGGGGCTCAGGCAATCTTCCCACCTCAGCCTCCCAAGTAGCTGGGACTACATGCCCACACCACCGTGCCTGTCTAATGTTTTGGTATTTTTTTAGAGATGGGGTTTCACTGTGTTGCCCAAGCTGGTCTCGAACTCCTGGGCTCATGTGATCTGCCTGCATTGGCCTCCCAAAGTGCTGGGATCTCACTTTCAAACTTAATACAAATCTGCAGTAATCAAGACAGTGTAGTTCTGGCATAAGGATAGACATATAGATCAACAGAATAGAATTGAGAGGCCAAAAATAAACCCTATATCATATACAGTTCATCAATTTCTTTTTTTTTTTTTTTTTAGATGGAGTCTTGCTCTGTCACCCAGGCTGGAGTGCAGTCATGTGATCTCAGCTCACTGCAAGCTTCACCTCCCAGGTTCACGCCATTTTCCTGACTCTGCCTCCCGAGTAGTTGGGACTCCAGGCGCCCACCACCATGCCTGGCATTTTTTTTTTTTTTTGTATTTTTAGTAGAGATGGGGTATCACCATGTTAGCCAGGGTGATCTCAATCTCCTGATCTTGTGATCTGCCTGCCTCAGCCTCCCAAAGTGCTGGGATAACAGGTGTGAGATACCACACCTGGCCCAGTTAATCAATTTTTAACAAGGTGTCGGATGATTCATTAGGGGAAAAACAGTATTTTCAACAAATGGTGCTGGAACAACTAGATCCACCAGCAAAATAATAAATTTGGACCCCTACCTCACACCACATACAAAACTCAAAATGGATTAAAGTCCAAAATAGAAAAGCTAAAGTCATAAAACTTTTAGAAGAAAACATAGGTATAAATTTTGGGTTAGGCAGTGGTTCTTAGATATGACACAAATTACAAGCAATTAATTAAAAAATAGTGATAATTTACTCTGACCTATTGTAAAGAAAAGCAATAATTTCAAAGCTACTGCCAGATCTTTTGTGTCACTGAAAAGTATCCACCAGCAGTAGACAGTCCCATTGATCGTGTTGTTTCAAATGCTCTAGCTGGCATAGTCTGAAATCCAGAGAATGAATAATAGGAAAACTGATTCTCTCAGCATAATCCTGTACAGTCCCATTGTTTTTTGTTTGTTTGTTTTTTGAGACAGAGTCTCACTCTGTTGCCCAGGCTGGAGTGCAGTAGCACAATCTCGGCTCACTGCAACCTCCACCTCCTGGCTTCAAGTAATTCTCCTGCCTCACCTTCCCAAGTAGCTGGGACTACAAGCACACGCCACCATGCCCGGTTAATTTTTTTTTTGTAGTTTTAGTGGAGACGGGGTTTCACCATTCTGGCCAGGCTGGTCTCGAACTCTTGACCTTGTCATCCACCCGCCTTGGCCTCCCGAAGTGCTGGGATTAAAGGCGTGAGCTACCATGCCTGGCCCATTCTGTTAAGAGTAGGAAAATCTGTGTAGATTTATCTGTGCTTGGGAAAATGTTTGTCTTCCCTTACCTGAATTTGCATTGTCCCAGCACTGAGAAATGTTTGTCCTTGGAAAGTGTGTGTGTGCTTGGTTCAGTAAGTTACCAGAAAACTATAAAAATAATTAAGATGAAAATTTTCTTTGCATACTGTTGTAGAGACTTGAGGGACCTAGACTTGAGGTGCCAAATGGGACACTTTTCCTGAACCTGATTTTTTCCTACGGAAAAAAAAATCAGATTTATTATGTTTTGCATAATTGTGTCTTATGAATTGCTCTGCTGGTGAAAGATAGAGTTGGGGATTGGAGGGTTGTGGGGTGAGCTGTGGATGCCAGAGGGAGACCAATCCCTGTGGGTAGGCATTACAATTTTCCTAAAGGGGAATGGGACTGTTTTTTTTTTTTTTTTTTTTTTAAGTGGGAGGGATTAAAGAAAGCCCATTCACCGAGGAGCAGCACAGAGGTAAACTTCAGACAGGACAACTGCTCTGTGTCTATGA